TTGAACCACCAGCCTTCTGGTTAGCAGTCAAGTGCATTAGGCACTACGCTACCAGAGCTCCCATTAATAAAGAGGGCCCTGCAAATCAGTGACATGAGGTGGCAACATTAATATGCAATATAACACCACTGATAGATCAAATATTTTTGAGAAGTAAGGGTCTAGGTGATCACATATTTGATACTTTTCTGCAATTTTGTCAGCATGAGTAGTATAAGGAAGCTGTTTGGTTGGTCCTACTTACACTAGACAAAGGGGTGAAAGAGCAAGATGAGTTCAGGGCTGCTAAGTCACAGCTCAAGCACCACATAAAAGACCTCAATATTTCCATTTGAGCTCTGAAAGAAAGCATGATTTCTTCTAGTAACAGAGCTGATATTGCCGAAAACCAAATCCAGAGTCTTATTGTAAGGGTGGCTGAATCACAACGCCAATTGAATTGCCAACCCAGAATCATTTCTGAAGTTAAAGTGAGGACATTCCTTGGGAAAAAATTAGATCCTGAAACTTGGAATGGGGACATATGGGCAGACAGTCAGGAAGATGATACTGGGCCTGTAAATTCTGTTGAATCCCTCCAGTATGAAGAGATTACTATGAAACCATCATCCCTTCCACCTCCATTTGATGGGATTGACCCAACCGTTCCTGCTGGGTCATTGTTTGAGGTAGATGCCATGGGAGAAAGTAGTTCTGATATCAGCCACGACCACATGACCAGTTTCAGAAACGTGGACTGTAATTATTATATTTCTTCATTGTATATATAGATGAAATATTTTTTGTTTCCTTCTGTTAAGAAATATGAAATGTTATAGGGTTAATGCATTTTGGTTGTATGTGTGTTAGTGTATCATGTTAGGTGCAAATATGACTTTATAATTGTCCTTATTTAGAGATTATATATGGTTAAGGAGATGTATACAACTGCCAAGTTGACAAGGGTGGACTTTGATAGTTGGAGTTGTGTGTCAACTTGGTTGGACCACAATTTGGAGTGGTTTAAGCAGTTGTGATGTGGGTTATTCCCATGATGAGATCAGATGTATATATTTTGAGCAGCCAATCCATTGAAAGGCAGTTTCCCTAGGGGTGTGGCCTGCTTCCAATATATTTATGGACATCCTGGGAAAAAGAGACACTCTTCTGTGGATCGGGATCCTGTTGTGCTGCCTACAACTGTCCATGAGTGGACAATCCACCATTCGGCCTGGAGATCTTGGATTCATCATTCGTTAGAGTCAACAGCTGGTATACTGCCTGCCAACCTTGAGCTCCTCAGCCCCTGCAACTGCATGAGTCAGGAAAAGCCTCTAGCTTGACATTTGATCCAAGAACTTGGGACTTCCAAGCTTCTGGGAGCTCTGGTGGCATAGTGCCTAAGGCATTTGACTGCTAACCAGAAGGCTGGTGGTTCAATCCCACCAGCCACTCCTCTGTAGGGATACCGCCTCAAAAACCCACGGAGCGGTCGCTATGAGTCAGATCTGACTCAATGTCAGTGAGTTTGGTTTTTCTGTTTTTTGGTTTTATAAGTGTGTGAACCATTTTCCTAAGATAATTTTCTCTTTCTCTCTCTCTATATAAGCTTTACTGGTTTTGCTTCTCTAGAGAACTCAGCCTAACACAGCATGTGAAGAATATTAACACATATTTAGAAAATTAATTACATAGTAATAATGAACTATTTGTTAGCTTTCAGCCATGAAACTCCAGTCATTAAATAACTCATCTGAAAATCAACCAGGTTCTGAGAGCTGGCTCCAAATGGATGAAACTAAACCATACTCAAAGTTAAAGTAAAATTAACAGTAAATTAAATACTCATAAAGTTTGGAATCTTCTTTCTTTTTCCTTTATTCAGAATGTATCTTCTAATTATCACATAAAAGAGAGTAAAGGATAAGGTTTTATTTTTAAAAGATATTGCAAAATAAGAATATGCTGCTGATGGTATAAAATTGTTTCATGATGTAGTTTTCTTCAAATCGTTAATTTCATTTGTCCAACCGGTACAATGCACTTATTGTATAATTCTTACTTACATCTAAATGTCAATTTGCATTTCACAAAACTGTTAACTGTGTTTGCTACCAGAGCTCCTACATAAATATAAGGAACCGATAATATGTTAAAAGATACTTACTTTTCACCAGCAGATCCACAGGTAACATCAGTCAGCAGAGAAAAGGCAAAATTCTCAGTCACTTCAGTAAAGTGACTGAATCCTCTAGTATCCTTGCGCTTTGGATTAATAAGAGCACAAAGAATTTCATAGAAGATATTTTGTCTTTTAATACTGAATGCTTGATTTTTTCCTTCAAAAGTTATCTGGAAAAAATTCAAATGAAAATATATCACCTTCAGAAATAAATGTCTTAAGTTATATACATGGTATATATGATATGTGTTCTTTGTTAATGGTTATTAACATTTACATTTGAAAAGCATAAATAATCATTTATAAGAGAAAGATATAATCACAAAAATATTTCCTATTTGATCATTAGATACAGCCCAGGATGCTAACATGGATCACTTAATTTTAACCATAAAAATTAACATAAGTGAAAATTAATCTCATTTATAGGTATATAGGGAGCTCTGGTAACATAGTGGCTAAGGCACTTGACTGCTAACCAGAAGGCTGGCGGTTCAAACCCACCAGCCACTCCTCGGAAGGAAGGTTGGGCAATCCTACTTCCGTAGTGATACTGCCTCGGAAACCCAAGGAGGGGTCGCTATGAGTCGGGGCCGACTCGACGGCATATAACAACATATAACAATGTATAGAGTTAAATCTAAATCATCTATGGCATGAATACAAAATAAGTCAAATGTAAAATAATAAGCCTTGAAATATAATATACATAGTGTTAATAATTATACATATATGTCCCAAGGATTCTTATTCTTTTGATCCACATCTAAAAAAATTAAAATCATCAAGGATATTTGTCAATAATAGGAGCAAGATTATTCTTGACTACTTATTTTCGGCGAAGTCATCACATATTACTAAATTTTAAAGAATCAAATGAGAAAATCCTTTTCGCACCCAACAATATCTAAGAGCTCTTCACACTCTCATCTTTATCAATAAGTATGATGCTTCCTACTTTAAATGAACTGAATTATTTGCTGTTTGGAGGACTAGGCTATAGGTGGAAAAAGTCTCGATAATTTACTTGTCTTCCTTGCCAGAATAATGGAGATTGTATATTTATTGTCTGACTAGTCATGAATGTGAAGCCACTAATTTGATATTCCACTTAATTGCTACATATCTGAGAAGCCTTAATCAATTCTTAAAAGTCAAAATTAGTCATCACTCTATGTGATTCCTACACTGTGCCCCACTCACCATCATACTTGATCACTCTCTTCATAACTCACTTGTACCTTTGCAATGAAGTTATGACAACCTTGAAATGGTTTGTCTGCTTCCCCTACTAGAAGAGTTCACTGAGAAAGTAAGTTCTGTTCCCCACATTATTTTGTAACTTTATAATTTAACACAGCACCAGGCTCAGAGCAGGATTCAAGATCTGAATTTATAAGGGTAGCTATCTCAAAGACAGTAAGGAGGAATAGAAAATAATCCACAGGTAAAATATGATAAAAGGCACAGAATAAAAACATAACCAATAAAAATTACAATGGGGGCAGTAAAGAACGCATTAGACATGGAAACAAGCAAAAAGAGTAAGTTAAATGGAAAACAAGATCAAGAAAATATTCCAGAACCCACAGAAAATACATCAGACAAGTAGGACAAATCTAAAAGATACAATAAGTATATAAAAGAGCTCTTAGAAGTTAAAAAATGAAAAGACATCTCTTTGATAAGCCAAAAAACTCTGTCAATAAATTCAGAAACATCCTCATTATCAAAGAAAATTAAGAAAATGGAAAATCTTGAATATTATTCCAAGAGTTTAAAAAAAAAATCAACCAGAAAAGGGGGAAAAAAAATACTAATAGAGAAATGAAAATTCTATTTGATATCACACTTTTCTGAAAATGAAAGGCCAGAAGCCAGCAATGCAAAATGTACAGAGTTTTAAGGATTGAAGAATTCTCTGGTGGTGCAGGGGTTAAAGCATAAGGCTTCTAACCAAAAGGTCGCCAGTTCAAACGCACCAGCCACTCTGTGGGAGAAAGATGAGTCAATCTACTTCTGTAAAGATTTACAGCTGTGGAAACCTAATGGGGGCAGTTCTATTCTGTCCTATAAGACCACTCTGAGTTGGCATCAATTTGATGGCAATCAGTTTCACTTTAGTGTAGAGCTATCCAACCTTTCATTCATATTCAAGGCCAATAGAAAGTTTCTGTTAGTAATGAATTCACTAATGAAACAAATAAAAACAAACAGAAAAAAACTAACACTTGGTTTATCTGGGCACTGTTCTTAGCATTTTACATTAGCTTCTCTAATTCTCACAACAGTTCTGTGAGGAAGGTTCTATTATTATCTTTGTTTTGTTTCTGTATAAAGAAATTGAGGCAGAAAGAAAGCTACTAATATGTCTAAGAACACAGAGCTGGTAAATGTGAAGCCAGGAAGGGCTCATGACAGCCATCCTGCACTGACTCTCAACATTCCCCACTTGCTCATCCTCAAATAACAACACAACTGCACGGCAAGTCAGTCGAAATTATTGCAACCATGAAATACAAAACAAACCAGAACAATACAGAGCTAAATCTAAGTCATCTATGGCATGAATACAAAATAAGTCAAAAATAAAACAATAAGCCTTGATATATAATATACATAATGTTAAAAAAAAGTATAGGATAATAAATAGTCTAGCTCTAAAAGGTTATTTGGAGCTCTGGTGACATAGTGCTTAAGGCATTTGTCTGCTACTCAGAAGGTTGGTCGTTCAAGCCCACCAGCCAATCTGCAAAAGAAAGATGGGGCAATCTACCTCCAAAAAAATTTACTACAACAGAAACCCAACAGGGGTCACTATGGGGTAGAACGGACTTGATCCCAGTAAGTTGGTGGGTTTTTTTTGTTTTTGTTTTTGTTTTAGGTTATTTTACATAAACAACAACAAAAAGACACAAAAGTCATCAAAACTGGCTTATGAGCAAGTACCAAGTCTGGATTAACTATGGGGGAAAAAAATTAAAATTTAAAAAGTTGTCAAGATTGGGGAGGGGGTTCTTTGGTGGGGGGGTGCCGAAGCTATGAAACTTTCACAGAAGAAATAATCCCTGAGCTCGTTCAAATGTTCCAGAACACAGATGTAGAGGCAAAGCTTCCAGATTCTGGGCAAGATGGCAGACTAGGCAGAAGGATTGCACAGACCTTCTTTAACAAAGAAAACAGAAACCGATTAACACAGACACAGAAGATAATCTTGGACCCCTGAGCCTTGAAGGGAAGGATGCAGAATTGGACTAAACCCCAACTAGCAGAAGAATTTGC